CAGTTTATTCGTCATTATAAACACTACACCTGGGACATGCCTGCCTACGACTTAAGGGCAGGGGTCTGTGTGTGTCGCTCTGAGGGCAGGGCTGTATGTGTCTCTGAGGGCAGGGCTGTGTGTGTCTCTATGCAGGGCTGTGTGTGTCTCTGAGGGGAGGGCTGTGTGTGTCTCTGTGAGGAAAGGGCTGTATGTGTCTCTGAGGACAGGTCTATGTTTATGTGTCTCTCTCTCTGTGTCTCTGTGTGTATCTCTCTGTATATCTCTTTGTGTGTGTCTCTGTGTGTGTCTCTCTGTCTCTGTGTGTGTCTCTCTCTCTGTGTGTCTCTGTGTGTCTCTCTGTCTCTGTGTCTCTCTCTGTATGTGTCTCTGTGTGTGTCTCTCTGTCTCTGCGTGTGTCTCTCTCTGTGTCTCTCTCTCTGTCTCTATGTGTATCTCTCTCCGTTTCTCTCTCTGTCTCTGTGTGTGTCTGTGTGTCTCTCTCTGTGTATCTCTTTGTGTGTGTCTCTGTGTGTCTCTCTCTGTCTCTGTGTCTCTTTCTGTGTGTGTCTCTGTGTGTCTCTCTGTCTCTGTGTGTCTCTCTCTCTGTGTGTCTCTGTGTGTGTCTCTCTGTCTCTGTGTGTGTCTCTCTCTGTGTCTCTCTCTGTCTCTATGTGTATCTCTCTCCGTTTCTCTGTCTCCGTGTGTGTCTGTGTGTTTCTCTCTGTGTATCTCCGTTTGTCTCTGTGTGTGTATCTCTCTGTGTGTCTCTCTGTGCATGTATCTCTCTCTGTCTCTCTGTGTGCGTGTCTCTCTCCGTGTCTCTGTGTGTATCTCTCTCTGTGTCCCTGTGTGTCTCTCTCTGTTTCTCTGTGTGTATCTCTCTGTGTTCCTGTGTGTGTCTCTCTCTGTGTCTCTGTGTGCGTGTCTCTCTCTGTGTCTCTCTATCTCTGTGTGTGTGTGTCTCTCTCTGTATCTCTCCCTCTGTGTCTCTGTGTGTCTATGTGTGTCTCTCTGTGTCTCTCTGTGTCTCTGTGTGTCTATGTGTGTCTCTGTGTGTCTATGTGTGTCTCGCTGTGTCTCTGTGTTTCTCTGTGTATCTCTCTGTGTTCCTGTGTGTGTCTCTCTGTATGTCTCTATGTGTGTGCCTCTCTCTCTGTCTCTCTATCTCTCCGTGTGTGTGTCTCTCTCTCTGTGTCTCTGTGTGTCTCTGCGTGCCTCTCTGTGTCTCTCTGTGTCTCTGTGTGTCTCCGTGTACCTCTCTGTGTCTTTGCGTGTCTCTGTGTCTCTGTGTGACGGCTATGGCTCGTCTCCATCCTCACGCGAATCGTGACGTCAACGTTCCGTTTCCAGGGCAACTCGCTCTCTCGTTGACATAGCAACTGGGCTACACCCCCCCCCCCCACCATGATGCGGGAGAATCCCTGTCTCAGTGGACCCCACCCCCGTCGACCCCCTCCCCCCGATCCAAGCCTGAGAAACAGAGTTAGGGGTGATGAAGAACGGGAGAAGTGGTGATGGGAGACGGAGTGACGGGAGATATAAGAGGTAGAGATGCGAGATGGCTGATTATATACTGGTGATGGGTCATGGAAGATGCAGTGATGGGTGATGATTGTAGATGGGTGATGGGAGACGTGGTGATGTCTGATGTGAGATGGGTGACGTGGTGATGGGTAGTGGGAGACGTGGTGATGGGTGATGGGTGGTGGGAGACGTGGTGATTGGTGGTGGGAGACTTGGTGATGGGTAGTGGGAGACTTGGTGATGGGTAGTGGGAGACGTGGTGATGGGTGGTGGGAGACTTGGTGATGGGTAGTGGGTGACTTGGTGATAGGTGGTGGGAGACTTGGTGATGGGTGGTGGGAGACGTGGTGATGTCTGATGTGATGGGTGACGTGGTGATGGGTGATGGGTAGTGGGAGACGTTGTGATTGGTGGTGGGAGATGGAAGACGTGGTGATGGGTAGTGGGAGACGTGGTGATGGGTGATGGGTGGTGAGAGACGTGGTGATGGGTGGTGGGAGACGTGGTGATGGGTGATGGGTGGTGGGAGACGTGGTGATGGGTGATGGGTGGTGGGAGACGTGGTGATGGGTGGTGGGAGACGTGGTGATGGGTGGTGGGAGACGTGGTGATGGGTGATGGGTGGTGGGAGACGTGGTGATGGGAGATGAGAGACGTGGTGATGGGTGGTGGGAGACGTGGTGATGGGTGGTGGGAGACGTGGTGATGGGTGGTGGGAGACTTGGTGATGGGTGGTGGGAGACTTGGTGATGGGTGGTGGGAGACTTGGTGATGGGTGATGGGTGGTGGGAGACTTGGTGATGGGTGGTGGGAGACTTGGTGATGGGTGGTGGGACACGTGGTGATGGGTGGTGGGAGACGTGGTGATGGGTGGTGGGAGACTTGGTGATGGGTGGTGGGAGACATGGTGATGGGTGGTGGGAGACTTGGTGATGGGTGGTGGGAGACTTGGTGATGGGTGGTGGGAGACTTGGTGATGGGTGGTGGGAGACGTGATGGGTGGTGGGAGACATGGTGATGGGTGGTGGGAGACGTGGTGATAGGTGATGGGTGGTGGGAGACTTGGTGATGGGTGGTGAGAGACTTGGTGATGGGTGGTGGGAGACGTGGTGATGGGAGATGGGTGACGTGGTGATGGGTGGTGGGAGACGTGGTGATGGGTGGTGGGAGACTTGGTGATGGGTGGTGGGAGACGTGGTGATGGGTGGTGGGAGACGTGGTGATGGGTGGTGGGAGACTTGGTGATTGGTGGTGGGACACGTGGTGATGGGTGGTGGGACACGTGGTGATGGGTGGTGGGAGACTTGGTGATGGGTGGTGGGAGACGTGGTGATGGGTGATGGGTGGTGGGAGACGTGGTGATGGGTGGTGGGAGACGTGGTGATGGGTGATGGTGGTGGGAGACGTGGTGATGGGTGATGGGTGGTGGGAGACGTGGTGATGGGTGGTGGGAGACGTGGTGATGGGTGGTGGGAGACGTGGTGATGGGTGATGGGTGGTGGGAGACGTGGTGATGGGAGATGAGAGACGTGGTGATGGGTGGTGGAGACTGGTGATGGGTGGTGGGAGACGTGGTGATGGGTGGTGGGAGACGTGGTGATGGGTGGTGGGAGACTTGGTGATGGGTGGTGGGAGACTTGGTGATGGGTGGTGAGACACGTGGTGATGGGTGATGGGTGGTGGGAGACGTGGTGATGGGTGGTGGGAGACTTGGTGATGGGTGGTGGGAGACATGGTGATGGGTGGTGGGAGACTTGGTGATGGGTGATGGGAGACTTGGTGATGGGTGATGGGTGGTGGGAGACTTGGTGATGGGTGGTGGGAGACGTGATGGGTGGTGGGAGACGTGGTGATGGGTGGTGGGAGACGTGGTGATGGGTGGTGGGAGACTTGGTGATGGGTGGTGGGAGACTTGGTGATGGGTGGTGGGAGACGTGGTGATGGGAGATGGGTGACGTGGTGATGGGTGGTGGGAGACGTGGTGATGGGTGGTGGGAGACGTGGTGATGGGTGGTGGGAGACGTGGTGATGGGTGGTGGGAGACGTGGTGATGGGTGGTGGGAGACTTGGTGATGGTGGTGGGACACGTGGTGATGGGTGGTGGGACACGTGGTGATGGGTGGTGGGAGACGTGGTGATGGGTGGTGGGACGTGGTGATGGGTGGTGGGAGACTTGGTGATGGGTGATGGGTGGTGTGAGACTTGGTGATGGGTGGTGGGAGACTTGGTGATGGGTGATGGGTGGTGGGAGACTTGGTGATGGGTGGTGGGAGACTTGGTGATGGGTGGTGGGAGACTTGGTGATGGGTGATGGGTGGTGGGAGACTTGGTGATGGGTGATAACCGTAGATGGGTGGTGGGAGATGGGAGACGCATCCCCAGTTGAGCCCCCTAATCCTCGCGGGGAATTTTAAATCGCAGCTTTTATTTCCACCGAAAGTAATCGCGGGGATAACAGAGGAGGGGGGGACCCGGTGATTGATGAGTGCGAGAGGCGGGGCTGGGGGGCTGCCGGGATTCTAGTGACGCGGGGAGGGGTGAGGAGGCGGTGAGGGGGTACGAGAGGGAGGGGGGAGGGAGGGGGGCAGAGGGAGGGTGGGGCAAGGGGAGGGGCGAGAGGGAGGAGGGGCGAGAGGGAGGAGGGGCGACAGGGGGGAGGGGCGAGAGGGAGGGGCGAGATGGGGCGGGGCGAGAGGGATTATTTGTGGAGTCCAAGGGACCTCCCGCGTTCGAGATGGAACGTGGGGAGACGTGATGATGGAGAGATGATGATGATGATGGAGAGATGATGATGATGGAGAGATGATGATGATCATGATGGATGATGATGATGGCGAGATGATGATGATGATGGAGAGATGATGATGGAGAGATGATGATGATGGAGAGATGATGATGATGGAGAGATGATGATGATGGAGAGATGATGATGATGGATGAGAGATGATGATGATGATGGAGAGATGATAATGGATGAAAGATGATGATGGAGGAGAGATTATGATGATGGAGAGATGATGATGGATGATGATGGATGAGAGATGATGATGATGATAGAGAGATGATGATGAATGAAAGATGATAATGGAGGAGAGATGATCACGGTGGATGAGAATTGATGATTCTGATGCTAATTATTAATGATGATATATGATGAATAATGATTAAGGTTACGATGTTCATGATTAATGGAAATATGATGATGATGATGGGTGAGATGCTGATGAATGGAGATCCTGGATGAGTGCTGGGCGAAGCGACGCTGCACAAAACGAGAGACTCTGCGAGGAGGAGGAGGAGTGCGAGTGACCGAGCCATCGGCATCACCACGCGGAAGGATACACGAGGGAGGGCGGTTTTATTTGTGTTGAAATCTCGCACTGAATTGAGTGAGAAGGAGTAAATAGTCATCATCCCCCCTCCCTCCCTCCCCGCCTGCTCCCCTCCCACTCTCTCCCTCCCCTCTCCCTCCTCCATCGCCGCCGCCCTGAGAGGAGCGGCGTGGTGAGAGCGGGGGGAGCGACAGCGAAGGGAAACGACGACGACGAGGAGGAGGAGGAGCAGATACAAGAAGCGGAGAGCGGGAAAGAGGACAGGGAGGGGTGAGGAGGCGAGGTGAGGAGGTGAGGCGAGTAACGCCATGGCAACTGTCTGAGCGCTGGCAGGAAGAGAAGGGAGGAGAAAAGGCGCCGGGTCCGTGTCTCCTCCTCCTCCAGCAGCACCACCACCACCACATCCTCCTCCTCGCCACCTCTTCCTCACCACCTCTTCCTCACCACCACCTTCTCACCCCCCCCCCCCACCATCTCAGCGTTCCAAGATGCTGCAGACTCCGTTCGCCATCTTCTCGGCGCAGGAGGCGGCGCAGATGTACCGCACCAATTACGTGCGTAACTCGCGCGCCATTGGCGTGCTGTGGTCCATCTTCACCATCTGCTTCGCCATCATCACCGTGGTGGTGTTCGTGCAGCCCTACTGGGTGGGCGACGGGCCCGAGACGCCCCAGGCGGGCTTCTTCGGCCTCGTCCATCGCTGCGTGGGCACGGGGCCCGCCAAGAGCGACCTCCGCTGCGAGGGGAGCTTCATGGACTTCTCGTCGGTGCCCTCGGGCGCCTTCAAGGCCGCCTCGTTCTTCGTCGCCACCTCCATGGTGCTCGCGTCCGCCTGCGTCGTCTGCTTCGCCCTCTTCTTCTTCTGCAACACGGCCACCGTCTACAAGATCTGCGCCTGGATGCAGCTCACGTCCGGTGCGACGGTGGCGGGTGCAGAGGGATGGATAGAGGGAGGAGGATGGAGTAGGAGGGTGATGATGGAGGAGGATGATGGAGGAGGATGGAGGAGGGTGATGATGGAGGGTGATGATGGAGGAGGATGGAGGAGGATGATGGAGGGTGATGATGGAGGGTGATGATGGAGGGTGATGATGGAGGGTGATGATGGAGGGTGATGGAGGAGGGTGATGATGGAGGGTGATGATGGAGGGTGATGATGGAGGGTGATGATGGAGGGTGATGATGGAGGGTGAGGATGGAGGGTGAGGATGGAGGGTGAGGATGGAGGAGGGTGATGATGGAGGGTGATGATGGAGGGTGATGATGGAGGGTGATGATGGAGGGTGATGATGGAGGGTGATGATGGAGGAGGATGGAGGAGGGTGATGATGGAGGATGATGATGGAGGATGATGATGGAGGGTGATGATGGAGGGTGATGATGGAGGGTGATGATGGAGGGTAATGATGGAGGGTGATGATGGAGGGTGATGATGGAGGGTGATGATGGAGGGTGATGATGGAGGGTGATGATGGAGGGTGATGATGGAGGATGATGATGGAGGAGGGTGATGATGGAGGAGGGTGATGATGGAGGAGGGTGATGATGGAGGAGGGTGATGATGGAGGGTGATGATGGAGGAGGAGAAGGATGATGGAGGGTGATGATGGATGATGATGATGGAGGATGATGGAGGGTGATGATTGAAGATGATGATTGAGGATGGAGGAGGAGGATGATGAGGATGATGAGAAGGATGATGGAGGATGATGATTGAAGATGATGGAGGATGATGATTGAAGATGAAGGAGGTGTAGGGTGGCGGTGGTGGGGAGAATATGGGTATTTTTGGAAGTCCTAATCTGGTGGTGGTACTGATTTTGTGACGTGCCATATAGTTGTTGTGGCGGTGATTTGTTGATGGTGGTAGTGGTGATTGTGTGATGGTGGTGATTGCGTGGTGGTGGTAATTTGTTGACGGTGGTGGTGAGTGGGTGAAGGTGGTGATTGGGTGATGGTGGTGGGGGTAATTACTGACGGTGCACCTACAGTACCGGTGATGATGCTGCTGCTGCTTCTGATGGCCATGGGAGTGGATCTGTGAGTGGTTCCCCTGGTGGCGATGTTGACGATACTAGCGAGAGTGATTGGGTAGTGAGTGAGTGGCAGTGCCTTTTAACCGCCCACGACAGCTTCCCTTGACGAGTCTCAAGTCGACTCCTCCCCAGGAGCAGGAGGACTGTGCTTGGTGGTAGTGGTGGTGGTGGCACAAGTGCGATGTTTGACCCTGGATTCTGCCTCCACGTGGGAGGAGGCAACCGAAGAGCGTGGAGAACGAGGGCATAGCACGCTCGCAACTCCGCACAGATGGATTTTTTAATCCACTGCCGTGCAGCATGTCCATCTCCTGGCCACCTCGGAGCCCAAGCCAACATTTTTGGTGGCAATGCAGGTGGTGGTAGTGGTAGTGATGGTGGCACTGCAAGTGGTTGGTATTGGTGGTGGTGTTGGTGGCAGTGCAGGTGGTGGTAGTGGTGGTGGTGTTGGCAATGCAGGTGGTTGGTATTGGTGGTAGTGGTAGTGGCACTTGAAGTGGTTGGTAGTGGTGGTGGTGTTGGTGGCACTGCAGGTGGTTGGTGGTGGTGTTGGCAATGAAGGTGGTTGGTAGTGGTATTGGTGGTAGTGTTGGTGGCAGTGCAGGTGGTTGGTAGTGGTGGTGGTGGCACTGCAAGTGGTTGGCATTGGTGGTGGTGTTGGTGGCAGTGCAGGTGGTTGGTAGTGGTAGTGGTGGCACTGCAGGTGGCATTTAAGCTTAAATGTCGTGATCTAAGCGTGGCTTCTTCCACTCCAGCGCTGTCCTCCAGACAGGCTCGTCCCTTCACCTGATGAAGGCCGCTTGTGTTGTGGCCGAAACGTCGTGATTTTTTGTTATTTTATTTTCACCTACGTGACTTTACCCAATAGAACCAAAGAGTATGGATCCTAGCAGTCACGAAAGCTTTAAATCTAGAAGTGGTGGTGTTGGTGGCAGTGCAGGTGGTTGGTAGTGGTAGTAGTGGCACTGCAGGTGGTTGGAAGTGGTGGTGGTGGTGGCACTGCAGGTGGTTGGTAGTGGTGGTGGTGGTGTTGGTGGCAGTGCAGGTGGTTGGTAGTGGTAGTAGTGGCACTGCAGGTGGTTGGAAGTGGTGGTGATGGCACTGCAGGTGGTTGGTAGTGGTGGTGGTGTTGGTGGCAGTGCAGGTGGTTGGTAGTGGTGGCACTGCAGGTGGTTGGAAGTGGTGGTGGTGGCACTGCAGGTGGTTGGTAGTGGTGGTGGTGGTGTTGGTGGCAGTGCAGGTGGTTGGTAGTGGTGGTGGTGGTGATACAGGGGGGGTATTTGCCGTGTGTGTGCATGTTTTGCTGGGAGGTCTGAACCAGGCCATCCAAGTGCAACCATTGGGGTGGCTTCTGCACCTGCCCTAAGCCTCCCCTAAATCGACTCGGCTTTTAGTTAATACCAGGTGTGCGTGATGGTGGTGGAATTGATGGTAGTGTCGGCAATGGGGTTACGTGTGATAGGTAGTAGTTGTGGTGGCATATTTGGTGGTGGTGGTGGTGGTGGTGTTCGTGGTGGTGGTGGAAGTGTCAGTGCTGAAAGTGGCAGTGAAGGTGGTGGTGGTGTACAATGATGGTACTGTGGGTGGAATTGTTGTGGTGATGGCAATGTTGGTCGTGAGGTGAGTAGTGGTGTTGGTGTTGTTGGTAGTAAGGTGAGTGGTGGTGATGGTGGTGTTGGTAGTAATGTGAGTGGTGGTGATGGTAGTGTTGGTAGTAACGTGATGGTGGTGTTGGTAGTAAGGTGAGTGGTGGTGATGGGAGTGATGGTAGTGAGGTGAGTGGTGGTGATGGTGGTGTTGGTAGTAACGTGAGTGGTGGTGATGGTGGTGTTGGTAGTAAGGTGAGTAGTGGTGATGGTAGTGTTGGTAGTAAGATGAGTGGTGGTGATAGTGGTGTTGGTAGTAAGGTTAGTGGTGGTGATGGTGGTGTTGGTAGTAAGGTGAGTGGAGTGATGGGAGTGTTGGTTGTAAGGTGAGTAGTGTTGATGATGTTGGTAGTAAGGTGAGTGGTAGTGGTGGTAGTGATGGTAGTGAGGTGAGTGGTGGTAATGGTAGTGTGGTAGTAAGGTGAGTGGTGGTGATGGTACTGTTGGTAGTAAGGTGAGTGGTGGTGATGGTGCTGTTGGTAGTAAGATCAGTGGTGGTGATGATAGTGTCGGTAGTAAGGTGAGTGGTGGTGATGGTAGTGTTGGTAGTAAGGTGAGTGTTTGGTGATGGTAGTAAGGTGATGGTGGTGTTGGTAGTAAGGTGATGGTGGTGTTGGTAGTAAGGTGATGGTAGTGATGGTAGTGAGGCGAGTTGTGGTGATGGTAGTGTTGGTAGTAAGGTTAGTGGTTGTGATAGTGGTGTTGGTAGTAAGATCAGTGGTAGTGATGGTAGTGTTGGTAGTAAGGTGCGTGGTGTTGATGATGTTGGTAGTAAGGTGAGTGGTAGTGATGGTAGTGTTGGTAGTAACGTGAGTGGTGGTGATGGTAGTGTTGGTAGTAAGGTGATGTTAGTGTTGGTAGTAAGGTGAGTGGTAGTGATGGTAGTGTTGGTAGTAACGTGAGTGGTGGTGATGGTAGTGTTGGTAGTAAGGTGATGTTAGTGTTGGTAGTAAGGTGAGTGGTGGTGTTGGTAGTGTTGGTAGTAAGGTGAGTGGTGGTGGTGGTGGTGTTGGTTGTAAGGTGAGTAGTGGTGATAGTAGTGTTGGTAGTAACGTGAGTGGTAGTGATGGTAGTGTTGGTAGTAAGGTGAGTGGAGTGATGGTGGTGTTGGTACTAAGGTGAGTGGTGGTGGTGATGGTGGTACTGTTGGTAGTAAGGTGAGTGGTGGTGATGGTAGTATTGGTAGTAAGGAGAGTGGTGGTGATGGTGGTAGTGTCGGTAGTAAGGTGAGTGGGGTTGATGGTGGTAGTATTGGTAGTAAGGTTAGTGGTGGTGATGATGTTGTTGGTAGTAAGGTGAGTGGTGGTGATGGTAGTAAGGTGAGTGGTGGTGATGGTAGTAAGGTAATTGGTGGTGTTGGTAGTAAGGTGATGGTGGTGTTGGTAGTAAGGTGAGTGGTGGTGATGGGAGTGTTGGTAGTAAAGTGAGTGGTGGTGATGGTAGTGTTGGTAGTAAGGTGAGTAGTGGTGATGGTAGTGTTGGTAGTAAGGTGAGTGGTGGTGATGGTGATGTTGGTAGTAAGATCAGTGGTGGTGATGGTAGTGTTGGTAGTAAGGTGAGTGGAGTGATGGTAGTGTTGGCAGTAAGGTTATGGTAGTGTTGGTAGTAAGGTGAGTGGAGTGATGGTAGTGTTGGTAGTAAGGTGATGGTAGTGTTGGTAGTAAGGTGGTGGTGGTGATGGTAGTGAGGTGAGTGGTGGTGATGGTAGTGTTGGTACTAAGGTGAGTGGTGGTGGTGATGGTGGTGTTGGTAGTAAGGTGAGTGGTGGTGATGGTGGTGTTGGTAGTAAGGTGAGTGGTGGTGATGGTAGTGTTGGTAGTAAGGTGATGGTATTGTTGGTAGTAAGGTGAGTGGTGGTGATGGTTGTGTTGGTAGTAAGGTGAGTGGTGGTAATGGTAGTAAGGTAATTGTGGGTTGGTACTAAGGTGAGTGGTGGTGATGGTGGTGTTGGTAGTAAGGTGACTGGTGGTAATGGGAGTTTTGGTTGTAAGGTGTGCAGTGGTGATGTATAAGGTTAGTGGTGGTGATGGTAGTGTTCGTAGTAAGGTGAGTGGAGTGATGGTAGTCTTGGTAGTAAGATGAGTGGCAGTGATGGTAGTGATGGTAGTGAGGTGAGTGGTGGTGATGGTAGTGTTGGTAGTAAGGTGAGTGGTGGTGATGGTACTGTTGGTAGTAAGGTGAGTGGTGGTGATGGTGCTGTTGGTAGTAAGATCAGTGGTGGTGATGGTAGTGT